ATCCCCTTGTGTAAATATTACACCAATTCCATGATTCCATGCTCCTCCAGCTGTTTATAGACAGTGTTGTTGTTGTTTCTTATCCCCTTGTGTAAAGATTACATGAATTCCATGAGTCCATGCTCCTCCAGCTGTTTATAGACAGTGTTGTTGTTGTTTCTTATCCCCTTGTGTAAAGATTACATGAATTCCATGAGTCCATGCTCCTCCAGCTGTTTATAAACAGTGTTGTTGTTGTTTCTTATCCCCTTGTGCAAAAATTACACCAATTCCATGATTCCATGCTCCTCCAGCTGTTTATAGACAGTGTTGTTGTTGTTTCTTATCCCCTTGTGTAAAGATTACATGAATTCCATGAGTCCATGCTCCTCCAGCTGTTTATAGACAGTGTTGTTGTTGTTTCTTATCCCCTTGTGTAAAGATTACATGAATTCCATGAGTCCATGCTCCTCCAGCTGTTTATAAACAGTGTTGTTGTTTGTTCTTATCCCCTTGTGCAAAAATTACACCAATTCCATGATTCCATGCTCCTCCAGCTATTTATAGACAGTGTTGTTGTTGTTTCTTATCCCCTTGTGTAAAGATTACACCAATTCCATGAGTCCATGCTCCTCCAGATGTTTATAGACAGTGTTGTTGTTGTTTCTTATCCCCTTGTGTAAAGATTACACCAATTCCATGAGTCCATGCTCCTCCAGCTGTTTATAGACAGTGTTGTTGTTTCTTATCCCCTTGTGTAAAGATTACACCAATTCCATGATTCCATGCTCCTCCAGCTGTTTATAGACAGTGTTGTTGTTGTTTCTTATCCCCTTGTGTAAAGATTACACCAATTCCATGAGTATATGCTCCTCCAGCTGTTTATAGACAGTGTTGTTGTTTCTTATCCCCTTGTGTAAAGATTACAAGAATTCCATGCGTCCATGCTCCTCCTGCTGTTTTTAGACAGTGTTGTTGTTGTTTCTTATCCCCTTGTGTAAAGATTGCACGAATTCCATGAGTCCATACTCCTCCAGCTGTTTATAGATGGTGTTGTTGTTGTTTCTTATCCCCTTGTTTAAAGATTACACAAATTCCATGAATCCATGCTCCTCCAGCTGTTTTATGATAAGCAGCGGCCTCTCCGAAAGGTCCTGTTTAGTACATCTAATGCAAGTCAAAATATGTTCTGGAGCTAGTTTTGGGCAAGTGAGATAGATTTTGTTGTTATTTTCTATCTTCAATGGCTTGAGAAGTTCTAAATCTTGTGTGGGGATGACAGGTGTGCCCCGGAGTGCATCAACTTCCTCAAGTTCACCTCGGCCAGCGATGTCTGGGCCTACGGAGTCACTCTCTGGGAGATGTTCTCCTATGGCTTCCAGCCATGGGCCGCACTAACTGGACAGCAGGTAATACCATGTTGTCTGTTTGTGTGCGTGGAATATTAAACTTACTTTTAACACAATAAGGCACAATTTGGGTTATAGATTATAAACACATGGTAATAAGACCAAATCCAAATAAATAGTGGGTGATGTTTCGGTAACAGTGTTGTTACCATCTTCAAACAAAAGACTGAATGAGAAATTTTACACACTTGCTAACAGTAACTAGTTAAACCATGCTGTGGTAAAATTTCTCATTCAGTCTTTTGTTTGAAGATGGTAACAACACTGTTACCGAAACGTCACACACTATTTATTTATTTGGCTTTGGTTCTTATTTCCTTGTTACTTTTAACACTTTGGACCCGATGAACGCGAAGTCACACCCTACCTACCGGGCATCAAGCCTGAAGGACGTAAATCCACGTCTTCGATTTTAAAAAAATAAGTATTAAATCGCTGGCGGTCGATGTGAATTCGCGTCAACTGGGATCTTGTCCCTTCTTGTCTAACTGTCAGTGGGGGGATGTTAGGTGACCTTCTTGACACCCATCATGATTGGGTGAAGTAGTTTGTCATTAAGACTGGGAGCACTACTCAGGCCACTGACTTAGCTCCACTATGACAGGAGGAACAGACACCATGTACAGCTAACATGGAGTACATCCTGTATCCCTGGAGTCCTTACAGGGTACTATCAGCATGGCCAGCTGAGCCCAGGTTGTTTAGTGAGCTTGTTACTGCTCCCCCTCCTCTGACATGAGGAACAGACACCATGTACAAACATGGAGTACATCCTGTATCCCTGGAGTCCTTACAGGGTACTATCAGCATGGCCAGCTGAGCCCAGGTTGTTTAGTGAGCTTCATGAGCATCATGACCAGATGTTTGGTCATGTAATAAAATGGTTCAGTGCCTGTGTGTGAGATTTCTTGCCCAATTCAATCCTACCATAAGGTTTAAGACATGTGTCACAAGTGTGCGGCACCATTTCTGTGATATCGGGACATAAACAGATAATACCTGCCTTACATTAAGAAAGGTTCTGTTCCATTTGTCACTTCCATTCTGAAACACAGTCTGCCTTCACCAATTTAACCAATGATAATTTGATACTTGCGATAATTTGACAATTCACCATGTCCTTACCTGCATCCTGATAACCAGCTTTTATTAAATTCAAGTTAAACACTTCATCACCTTTTTACCAGACCTTATTTCTTCCAAGTTATCTATCTACAGACAGTGTGACTTTCCCCTGTCTCCTTAAAAAAAAATAGACGACCAGCGACAACAAAGTCTTTCCATTATAAGGCACAATTTGGATTATAATACAAGAAAATAAGACCTAATCCAAATAATTTTTTAGTGTGTGACGTTTCGGTAACAGCTTTGTCACCATCATCAGTCAAAATAATTATAATAAAGACTTATTCTTTTGTCTGATGATGGTGACAATGCTGTTGCCGAAACGTCACACACTAATAAATTATTTGGATTAGGTCTTATTTTCTTGTATTAAAGACTTTCCACTTCCTCAAGTTTTGTCCATGAGTGTATATAACTATCTTATCATATATTACCACGCCATCTGTTATCAAAATTCAAAACTATTATAGACGCGTATGATTCTTTTAAAAATTAAACAATTTCTACTGCCCTTACTGCAATGGAAAAATTGATGGGAGGGCCTGGCTCATCAGTGGTGAACCCTCTCAGCCGTTTCGCCAGTTCAATTTTTCCATTGCAGTAAAGGCAGTAGAAATTGTTTAATTTTTAAAAGAATCATACACATCTATAATACACAAGGTAATAAGACCAAATCCAAATAAATAAATAGTGTGTGACGTTTCAGCGTTGTTACCATCTTCAGACAAAAGTACTGAACGAGAAATTTTACCACAGCATGTTTTAAATAGTTACTGTTATCAAGTGTGTAAATAAGATAGCAGATAAGAAGAAGATAGTTCTCTGAGAAACACAGAATATTAATCTTAGAATTTAAAATGGTAATAAACCCATATTCTAAGAATAATATTCTGTGTTTCTCAGATAAATATCTTATTCTTATCTGTTATCTTATTTACACACTTGATAACAGCAACTATTTAAAACATGCTGTGGTTTCATTTCTCATTTTGGGGCTCAAAAATCACTTAATTTTGGTTAGCAGCCCCGTAAAAATTATATTTCCAAATTTCTCATTTAGTACTTTTGTCTGAAGATGGTAACAATGCTGTTACAGAAACTTCACACACTATTGATTTGAATTTGGTCTTATTACCTTGTGTTTATAATCTATAATCCAAATTGTGCATTATCAACACTTAAGGAAGTTGTACCTTTTAGCATGTATATCAGGATTCAGTCAATATCTCTGAAAGATATTACAGTGATCTTTATTGAAGACACACGAGATAACCAATATACACTCATGGACAAAACTTAAGGAAGTTGTACCTTTTAGCATGTATATCGGGATTGAGACAATAACTCTGAAAGATATTACAGTGACCTTTATTGAAGACACACAAGATAACCAATATACACTCATGGACAACACTTAAGGAAGTTGTACCTTTTAGCATGTATATCGGGATTGAGACAATAACTCTGAAAGATATTACAGTGACCTTTATTGAAGACATACAAGATAACCAATATACACTCATGGACAAAACTTAAGGAAGTTGTACCTTTTAGCATGTATATCGGGATTGAGACAATAACTCTGAAAGATATTACAGTGACCTTTATTGAAGACACCCGAGATAACCAATATACACTCATGGACAAAACTTAAGGAAGTTGTACCTTTTAGCATGTATATCGGGATTGAGACAATAACTCTGAAAGATATTACAGTGACCTTTATTGAAGACACACAAGATAACCAATATACACTCATGGACAAAACTTAAGGAAGTTGTACCTTTTAGCATGTATATCGGGATTGAGACAATAACTCTGAAAGATATTACAGCGACCTTTATTGAAGACATACAAGATAACCAAGTGTGAACAACCTCTGTCTCCTTCAATAATAAAAAAAAATAGACAACTGGCGACAACAAAGACATAAGTTTTGTCCATGAGTGTATATATTGCCCAAAAGTTATAATTCCAGATATTTAGTGGTATTCACAACTACGGGTACATGTGACAGATCCTGGAGGCCATAGACGAGCCCAACTTCCAGAGACTTGAGCAGCCGGAGTGTTGCCCCAAGGACTACTACAACCTCATGCTGCGCTGCTGGCAACATGACCTCAACAAGCGGCCGCGGTTCGCGGATCTACTCTCTCTACTGCCGGAGGTATCTACTCTAGACACGTTCAGCGGTGCAGTGCTCAGGCTCTACTTTGCCCAGACACCCAAAGTCTCTATCTCAGGTCCCGGGGGGAGAACACCAACCTATCTCTATGTAGGGAAGACAAAAACTGTTCCGTTGTACCTAGGGCAGGTATCTGGCAATGAGCTCGTCAAGTAACAACACAAGAGTCAGTGAATTACAACAACTCCCTTTATCTCCACTGTCACAAAAAAATATACAAGTATCAGAGTCATAATCAACAATTCTGTCACCGTTTGCTTTTGTGAATGGAATAAATACCCAAATATGGCCATTTCTTATAAGCATCAGTGTGGTTCACTGGTAGAATTCTCGCCTGCCATGCGGGCGGCCCGGGTTCGATTCCCGGCCGATGCATTTTTTTTTTACAATTTTTAAAACTCATTTATATTATTATTATTAAAATATACAAGTATCAGAGTCATCAATTCTGTCATCGTTTGCTTTTGTGAATGTAATGCTTTTACGTAAAATACGTAACTAATATGACTTAAATTTTAGCAGTATGTTTAGTAGAATCTGGAAAAACTTATATTGAATATTTCAGGTCTCTATCCCAAATATTCTTCGAGTTATTTGCAAATTTGAGTTGCAAATTTGCTCTTTCGCTCGCAAGCAGCGCCTCTAGCGGTGAAGATGGGAGGTAATATCAGCTGACCTAATATACATGTAAAACGTGTTTTAACAGGACATAGAAAAAAATATGGAAGAGATATTTGTCGCATTTTTAGCCAAGAAAAATTGAAATTGACAGGTTCTAGGCAAAAATAGTTGTTTTTTTTTTAGTCAGAAATTGATTATGACAATATAGCTGTATCATATTTGAGATTATCAGATACAAAATTATTTCGGGAAAAATTCCAAAAATCAAAGACCACGGGTGAAGCCAGTTCATTTTTAGTATGCAGGAACAAAATTCTAACAGAAAAACATTCATTCGAGCAGAAGACACAAAGCCAGATCATCTCTTTATATAAATATCGCTTCTCAGACACAAAGTTTGGAGCGGGACGTTTCACAAGAGTGACATCCACGGCGCCAATTTATAATTGTAACGAATAGTATATGAATAAAAACATTTAATCGGGTAAAACCCAGGCGTTGCCCAGGTCATTCGGCTAGTATACATATATTTTTAAAATAGAGCAATCCATAAATAAATCTTTAAATAAAAAGGCATATATTGGATCAAAATATCATTTATTTTACCAATATTTCAGTTGGCTGAACGCCAACCTTTATCAAGGTATTGTTGTTGGTTGTTGACACACTTTAAAATGTTATAACACCTTGATAAAGGTTGGCGTTCAGCCAACTGAAATATTGGTAAAATAAATGATATTTTGATCCAATATATGTCTTTTTAATTAAAGAACACATATATGTTATATAAAAATATGTTTTTCAAATATATTTCATAGATAAAATACTCTGCTAAATCGACCACCAGAGGTCGCCGTTTTCACTATAAAAACTCGTTGTTGTTGTTTCCCGATGGCCGGCTCAAACTTTTGCACATTATGTAAATAAGTTTTTCATTTTTTTATTCTTACGCCTTAAGCCAGGCGGTACTTTACCAAATTAATTTTTATACATTCCTTAGCTCAATTAAAGCAACCTCTGATCAAAACCATATTTATTCTTTCAAGATTTTAACCACGACTGACACAGTATGATTCACAAAATAATCAAAAATCAAACAGAAAATCTTTTTATTTTTTATATATTTTTTGCATATCCCTAGTACATGTGGTACAGGCCATGATAATCATGGTGGGTAGTTAGCGAATGCTTTTACTGTAAGTACACCACATGTCTAGACATGTGAAAAGCAGTTCGACTTTGCACTTACAAATATGCCAGAGCCCCGTTTGGTTACTTGCACTCGCTGGTGGGGTTGGACTTTTGCAAGAATCGGGGGCCATTGGAGCATTTTTTTTTTTAACAGAAAAAAGTGTCCAATGCGGGAATCGAACCCGGGTCATAGCGGTCGAAAACCAAAAGGTTTAACCAGCCTTCCACCGACCCCCATATATACATTTAGTATTTACATATGACAAATATAACAATGAATTAAATTTACATAGTTTCAAAAGATAGAAATCTATACAGAAGATTAACATATTCTTTTCCCGACATTGGTAGACACGTAGCTCTGGACACTTTCCTTCTAGGAGCCTTACACCTGCCCTGTGGAAGGATGGTATAAACTGTTGGTTTTCTACCGCTACAACCCGGGATTGAATCCCACATTGGACACTTTTTTCTGAATTAAAAAAAAAAGCTCCAATGGCCCCCATACTTGCAAAAGTCCAACCCCAAGTGAGTGTAAGTAAACAAACGGGGCTCTTGAAGATTTGTAAGTGTGAGTGTAACATGTGTAGACATGTGGTGTACTTACAGTAAAAGCAGTCGCCTACTTCTACCCACCATGATTATCATGTGTACTAGGGATAAGCAAACAAAAAAAAAAAAATAATTTACATAACTGAACATTTTTGAAGAACAAACTATGGAAGGGTTGATGAACTTAGTAGAGAAATAGACAGATTATAGATATCAAAATACAGTTAAACCTGTCTATAGCGCCCCCTCTTGGTACTCACCAAAATAGGGTGCTATAGAGAGGTGGTGCCATAGACAGGTCACTTTTAATGTACAGTTAAACCTGTCTATAGCGCCCCCTCTTGGGACTCACCAAAATAGGGTGCTATAGAGAGGGGGTGCTATAGACAGGTCACTTTTAATGTACAGTTAAACCTGCCTATAGCGCCCCCTCTTGGGACTCACCAAAATAGGGTGCTATAGAGAGGGGGTGCTATAGACAGGTCACTTTTAATATACAGTTAAACCTGTCTATAGCGCCCCTTCTTGGGACTCGCCAAAATAGGGTGCTATAGAGAAGGGGTGCTATAGACAGGTCACTTTTAATGTACAGTTAAACCTGTCTATAGCGCCCCCTCTTGGGACTCACCAAAATAGAGTGCTATAGAGAAGGGGCGCTATAGACAGGTCACTTTTAATGTACAGTTAAACCTGTCTATAGCGCCCCATCTTGGGACTCACCAAAATAGGGTGCTATAGAGAAGGGGTGCTATAGACAGGTCACTTTTAATGTACAGTTAAACCTGTCTATAGCGCCCCCTCTTGGGACTCACAAAAATAGGGTGCTATAGAGAAGGGGGGGCGCTATAGACAGGTCACTTTTAATGTACAGTTAAACCTGTCTATAGCGCCCCCTCTTGGGACTCACAAAAATAGGGTGCTATAGAGAAGGGGGGGCGCTATAGACAGGTCACTTTTAATGTACAGTTAAACCTGTCTATAGCGCCCCCTCTTGGGACTCACAAAAATAGGGTGCTATAGAGAAGGGGCGCTATAGACAGGTCACTTTTAATGTACAGTTAAACCTGTCTATAGCGCCCCCTCTTGGGACTCACAAAAATAGGGTGCTATAGAGAAGGGGCGCTATAGACAGGTCACTTTTAATGTACAGTTAAACCTGTCTATAGCGCCCCCTCTTGGGACTCACCAAAATAGGGTGCTATAGAGAAGGGGCGCTATAGACAGGTCACTTTTAATGTACAGTTAAACCTGTCTATAGCGCCCCCTCTTGGGACTCACCAAAATAGGGTGCTATAGAGAAGGGGCGCTATAGACAGGTCACTTTTAATGTACAGTTAAACCTGTCTATAGCGCCCCCTCTTGGTACTCACCAAAATAGGGTGCTATAGAGAAGGGGCGCTATAGACAGGTCACTTTTAATGTACAGTTAAACCTGTCTATAGCGCCCCCTCTTGGGACTCACCAAAATAGGGTGCTATAGAGAAGGGGCGTTATAGACAGGTCACTTTTAATGTACAGTTAAACCTGTCTATAGCGCCCCCTCTTGGGACTCACCAAAATAGGGTGCTATAGAGAAGGGGCGCTATAGACAGTTCACTTTTAATGTACAGTTAAACCTGTCTATAGCGCCCCATCTTGGGACTCACCAAAATAGGGTGCTATAGAGAAGGGGCGCTATAGACAGGTCACTTTTAATGTACAGTTAAACCTGTCTATAGCGCCCCCTCTTGGGACTCACCAAAATAGGGTGCTATAGAGAAGGGGCGCTATAGACAGGTCACTTTTAATGTACAGTTAAACCTGTCTATAGCGCCCCCTCTTGGGACTCACCAAAATAGGGTGCTATAGAGAAGGGGTGCTATAGACAGGTTTAACTGTACATACACGACATATAAATGTATGTATTAAGGATAAGGCACAATTTGGATTATAGATTATAAACACAAGGTAATAAGACACCAAATAAATAAATAGTGTGTGATGTTTTGGTGAAAGCGTTGTTACCATCTTCAGACAAAAGTACTGAATCAATTCTTTTGTACTTCAGTAGTTTTGTCTGAAGATGGTAACAACACTGTTACCGAAACGTCACACATTATTTATTTATTTAGGGTCTATTACCTTGTAGTAAATATCAAGATAAATCAGTTGTGTCGGACTACCTGTAAGTGACTGATGTGGTGTGGGGCAGTGCAAGCCGGAGCAGGTCCAGGCTGTAAAAGACTTCTTCCCCGGACCTGGGAAGACCAAGAAGGAGATGCTCCAGTACCGCACTGGGGAGGTCATCACAGTGCTGGATAACAAGTAAGTTGCTGGGGCTCCTCAAACTGCAGCAATATAACACATAAGTATAAATACTTGCACTGCTCATAAACATACATACACAACACAAACACATACATACAACACACATGCACACTACACTACACACATAACACAACTCGCACAAAACACATCAAAAACATAAAACACAACTCACATATTTACACTACACTACACACTGAACACAACTCACACAAAACACAACACGCATACATACAAAACACAGAACACCTCACATATTTACACTACACTACACACCGAACACAACTCACACAAAACACAACACGCATACATACAAAACACAGAACACCTCACATATTTACACTACACTACACACATAACACTTTGGCAGAGCCGACAAGGCATATCCCCAGGTGGTGGGAACAACCTTCAGATAGGAACAGCTGTGAAACCAACAGAATAACTGACCAATAAGCAGTCACGTACCAACAGCAGCAATATAAGAAATGGAAGCATTATAAAGCACGAATGTTTATTTTTTCAAACACAAAACAAACTCTTATACTGTCCTTACTGTGATATATATTGGGAATGTAAAAATTGATGTTTTATAATTGTTCCATTTCCTATATATAGATTGCAAGTTATATTTAAATATACCTAACTGGCCTTGTATTCATTGTTTGTGGAAGAACATTGCTCGATGTAAATATTTATATGTAATTCTA